GATTTGTCACAGGGAGAGAAACTGAAACAGCGAGGAGATGAGGTTCACAAATCTAGATGTATACAAAGAATGAGCAAACGATACAAATAAAAAGCCCTGAGAAATAAGAGAATATGAATAAGTAAAACAACTCGGAGTAAAAGTGAACATAAATTAGCATAGCTACTAGAGAAGAAAAAAAAATAAGATCCTTAAAACTGTCCATTCATTTAATGACGTCTGTGCTTACAATCAGAAATATTTTTAAAGAGACCTTAAGGAAAAAATACTTATTTTTAGACATTAACTACATGTATAACATTAGAGGAACACATATATCTCAGGAGTAATACTACATAATTGTACATAAATATGACATTAATGTAGCCAGGAAGCATCCTATGTACAATTCCACTGCTGTAGAGGCTGAGGCAAGAAGATTGCAAATTTAAATACAGGCTGGGCAATTTAGTGAGACCTTGTCTCAAATTAAAATTTTAAAAGAAAATAGAGCTGGGGATAGAGCACTGGAGGAGAACACTTACACAGCATGCACAAACCCCTGGTTCAATCCCCAATAGAAAAAAGTAATAAAAATAACAATAAACACGAAAGCAATGGGTATCAATAAAAGAAGTCATATCATTGTGAATTCTATATATGCTCTTACCATATTATTGAGCTCAGCAAGTTTATGAAAACTTTCAAAAGGCAAAATGACATAATGAAGAGATGGGAAGAAATGTCACCAAACAAGCACATTGTACAATTCCAACCAATGAAGGACCTAAAGCGTTTATAGATAGAATATAGATCAATGCTTCAAATATTATCCCCATAGTGAAGTTTACTGAAGAAGTGATATGGGTAAATTGTAAATATTTTAATGCAATTCTTCAAAAATATGACATGCATTTTGTTCTGATATGGGTGAGATCTGAAATTTCAAAAGCACTCACAAGCTGAGAAAAATAAAGGTAGACAGCCTAAGTGATATTTTGGTGTACAGAGATTAGTCTCAATGTTAGATAATATGAAGGCAGAATGGACTGGGACACTATTCAGTAAATGATTCCCTGTAGTCCTGTGAATCTACAAAATCATGTATTTGGAAATTTTAGAAATCATTATGTCACATTAGTTTTTCACTTTACTCAGTATGAGTTATTACTGTGTAACATTTTATACAAGTGAAAAAGTTTCACAAGTGTATTTATGTTAGTTACCTCATTACTATCTTCAGGGCTGATTATGTTTACTGTCAAGAAATCAACACAACTCCAAGTAAGAAGCCCTTATGTCTTTATAATTATATTGCTTAGGCTGTGGAACTGCAAATGTTCATTCATTGACAAAAATATTGAGATGAAGCTGAAAATGTAAAGGGAAAATCATATATCAAAATTATTGCAAAAATGAGCATTGGTTCAATTATTGGTGTTTTTCTAAATTTTATAAATAGCTTTTACCAATTACATCACTCAAGCTACATTATTTTTATGTTTCTTATTTTATGAGACCATTCAGATTTTTTCAAGTAATATAAAGTGTCATTTGAAAGGTGAAATTATTTTAAATGATGTCTATAAGTCCAAACAAATCCTTGGAATATTTATGACAAAAACACAGTGTTATTTTAAAGATCCAGAGAATATTTTGTTTAATTTATAAGTATGGTTAAAAGTGGTGCAAACAAACATAAATTTTAATTAAAAGTTATAATAGTTTATCTTTTTATTCTAATAAAAGTTAAAGGAAAAGAAAGCTAAGATGGACTTTTTTAGCTAAATTTAAGTACAATGTTTTTAATATATGGCCATATTTTATACATTTAAATTTATTTTCTGAACCTGTCCGTGCATCCTTCTGTTTTAAAATTAAAATACTGTACCCAAGATAAGAGAAAGCAAGCTCATAAAGTGCTCATGACTAACTCAGGAAGTACTGACAGATGTGCTCAAAATTACTGCTAATTTTGCAAAAGGTTTCATAATTAGAGGCATCACATATACTCTTCATAGATCTTTGCTTCTATATCACCAAAAGAAAATGTGACTGTAGACATTTTTGAGACATTAAATTCATTTTAATATGCACATATGCTGTTTTATGTAAACTTTGGTTTCTGGTAGTTTTTAACTTTGACAGTGGTAGAGAAATGAAGAGTTATTGGTACAGACAATGATCTCATTTGTATTTTTAACAGTATTTCCACTTCCTTGTCATCAATGTATGAATGACAGTGGAAGTCTCATTAGGCTTTTTCAAAGCTTTACAAAACTAACTAAATACACAGCTACTTTTTTGAACATCAAAATGTATATCATATGTTCATTATAAAACTAAATGCATGTTTAGCAAAACAAAAACAGCAACTTTAATAATTATTTAAACATTCTGATTAAAAGCAAGTAATTAGTGTCAAATTTTAGCTCCTTCAATTACATAAGGGATGTGTTTTTTAATCTAGAAGATAAGAATATTTCCATTCCTTATAATAAATGACACAAATGTTAAAAATTACCACCGTATGTGGCAGGGGGCACAAAATGGTGGGAAAATTTTTGGTTAATAGTCTGTACTATTAGATTAACAATAAAATTGACTACTCCTATTAAGTCAGAGTGAAGATATAATTTTAAGGATAATTGGATGAGTCCAAAATAACATTAAATAGTAAAATTTGTTTAAAAATTTAGATATGGTTGAAATTGTAAGCAGAACTAAGGACAGTACAAGTACAAAGACCATTTTTCTGCTAATTTTCCATCCAGGTCAGACTTCAACCAAAAACCTAAATTTTGAGCAGTTTGAGCTGGTTCACACAGATAGAGAAAATAAGGCAGTTATAAAAAGCAAATTTATTTCCATACATATACCTGGAAAATAGACAAATCTGAATTTATCTGCTAAAAATCAGATTCCTTCTTTGATTTTTAGCAACACACATGTGCTGACTAATTTTATAATTCCTGAAATCAAGTCCCCAAATGAAAATACTACATTTTTAAGAAGTAGGGATACATACACTGAAATGTTTTCATCATTGCTATCTTATTAATAAATATTGTTATTGTAATATTTAACTATTAAAAATTTAGTCAGTGGAAAAAATACATTTGTAGATGTAAATTCCAGTTATATATGTCAGTGTAATTTACTAAGCTCAGTACCCACTAAAAGTAAAAGAAGACAAATTCATTTTCTGTTGCACTTGAAGTAGAGTATCTGATATATATGCAGAAAATAAGTAATTATATTTACTTAAAAATTTCAACTCTTTTGAAACATATGTTAGGCACTTACTTGCTTTGGAATTATTGATAATATATTTTCACAATATATGTTCTTATTTAAAGTGAAATAATTTTGAGAACTTGGAAAAATTTTATTTTCAATTACAAATTAAATCTTAAATCTGGATTTCATTTGAGGGGCATGGAGGCCATTCTAGTCTTTAATGATTAAAATTTGATTTTAGGCAATTTTAGTTAGGTCATTCATGGGAAAATGTGAGTTTAACTTTAGGACTATAGCACCCAAACTACCTATTATGTACCTCAAAATGTCACATAACTGTGCTCTCTTTTTATACTATAACTTTAAAAAAAAAAAAAGCTAAACAAATATCAGTGAGTTATCAAAAAATCACCATTATCTGTTTCTGAAATATTAAAGTTCTACATCATGCTGGGGCAATAGTATTTCTAAAGAACTCAAAAGGCTAAACACAATGTTTCATAAAAAAACATATAAATACTGTTGCCTTCATAATGTGTGTGTCCATGAAAGCCTCCCTGATTTAGTCAGGTATCACTCACCTATTCCCATTCTCAATGTCCAAACTGGGAGTCAGTGCCTCCGTGAATGCAAGCTATGCCTTTCACATTATATATGCACAATGGCTAAAATATATGTCCTATTTTTTTATGCCTATGGTTTTTCCTTTCCATTTCATCAGTCATAAAAGCAAGGCTACATCTATAAACTGTCCCATCTCTTGTTTCTTTCTTATGCCACAATATTTTTTGCACCATTTGATGAAAGAAAACATTATTTAGAAAAGATTTCCAATATAAGATAAGTCATCTTTTGATTGCACTGTGCTGTTTTACCTTCATCAATTATTATTTTCGTGGTATGACTTAGACACTGAATTGTAAATATTATTTATATATTAACTAAAAGGAAAAGATTCCTAATTAGCAGACGATAAATGAAATAATTTCATTACCAACATTCTCAAAGGAAATCTGTTACATAATTTGAAAAGGGGAAAGATTTCTCCAAAATGAAGAGAAACCAGAGTATTGTTATAGAATTTGAGACCATTATTATTGTTTATAATGGCAGAAAAACATAACGCATTTAAACAATATGGTCTCAATACCGAAACATCTGAGCACAACTATTATTGCTTTAGTGTCAAGAAGAACTCCTTTTAAATGAGAAGAATTTCACTGTGTTCATAGGCTTCTATCACAAAGCTCCTCTGCTTCTGATCAGAGACCCCAATCCATACAACATGTTACTAAATCATGGTGAAAGATAAAATAAAAGGTATGTACACTGCATGCTGGATTTCACATAATGTGTTTAGTATCATTATGGTGAATGAATGATTAGGCAAAAATATAATCAGCCATTAGTAAGAAAAATGAGAGCTTTCAGGGACTCAAGTGTCTAGAGATAAATTCTTTCACATAAATATAACCCTTCAAAACAAACAGAAATCAAGTAAGCAAGAGTGCCACATCCTATGGAAATATAAGGAACACTGAAAATACCCTAAATAAAAGCAAAGTTGCGCTTTATTTCTATGACTATGTCCTGATATAGGAGCCTGTCTTATTGTCAAATACATTCATTTTTTCATATTAAAGTGCAACCTGCATCCCAAAGTCACCTTTATCCTTGTTTCTAAAATCAACCTGATCTCTACTTATACCAAGAAGAAGGATATGTTGATTATTATTTCCTGAAAGGAAACACTTTTACATAGCCTTTATTGCAATACTTACTCAAATATGGTGGTTTGTAAGGCGCTCGTGTATTAGTCAGCAGTCCGTCCAGCTCCTTCCTCTCCAGGGTGCTATGCAGGGCCTTCTCTTTGCCAAAGGTGGAGAAAGACCACTCTGCCCCAGGCTGGGCTTCTGGAGTTTCAAACACCTCAGTGTCTGGAACAGAGTCCATGCCAGGAACATGCAAATTGCTGCGATAATCAGCAGCCTGGCGTCCATCGGAAGGGACGAAAGAAGGCATCCAGCACCTATCTGAGTGGCCCAGTGCTTTACATTCCTCAGTGCAGTTGGAGAACAGATCCATACCTGTAAACAACATTGAAAGAAACTAGAGATGTAGTCTTCACTGTCAACAGCTGCTCGGTGGTGAAAGACTGTGAGTGTCACCATGAGTGATGGGTGAAGGTGAAGGTTTTAACAAATTTCTTTTGTCTTAAACTGAGAGGAACCAACAATCTCTCTTTATCATTTTCTCCATAGTTTTAAAAAGATAAATGATCCTCAAATGGACCAGATAAGATTCTTTCGGCAAAGATGCATGAGAGATTGATGTTTCTAAACTACTCAGGACATCTGGGGGAAAATACTGGCTCTAAACTAACTGTTTAAACAATTTTGAAATGTTGAACGGAAGAATAGATTTTTAAAAAGAAACTCTCATAAAGTTCACAAGAAAAAAATCAAGATGTAAAGATTTTATGTGGAAGAAATACTAATGATGATATTTAGATTATAGAAATAGAGTGAAATTCAATAGAAATATGACACGTACATTAACAAACCAGTAAGTAACAGGAATGAAACAGATTCATTGGAAAGCTAAAAGCATGCTTTCTTGGGTTTCAGGGAAATGACTTATAAAGCTATTTCTCATTGGTATTGTGGGAGTCCATATCACTAGAAATCACTTATTACTTATCACCTTACCAAGCCCAGAGCAAATGACTGCAATTAGTGAAACCAAGGTAACCAAATGCACTGTGAATCAGCTTCAGACTATTGACAAATACCTTATTACTTGTTCTATATTGTAAATTCTTGTTCTAATCTAGACAAAAATGCTTACTAAACCTAAATACCAAGATTTCAAATTCTGTCTTCCTTAGATTAATACCATTTTAAAATATTTATTATCACACTATGATCAAGAAATCTCTTCCAGGGTATTGTTCACAGCTTAAGAATTTTTGAGCATTACAGAATATTATTTGATATCCAATTTGATATATAGTAATACACAGACAAGCAAAGATACCACTTTAATGTTCTCCTAATCATAGAAACTTATTTATTGAATATGTTTTGAACAAGATTGACTTGAAATAACCAAGGTATGATTTCTCTGTAGAGGAAAAAACTCTCAAATGTATCCAAATTAGGAAAAACTGAAAAGATTTTTATCCAATAGAATAATATTTATTTAATGAACATATTTTATTATTATTTCTGTAAATCACTTGAATGATTTGATCTCAGGACCAAGGTTTAATT